TACTTAGGAGGCTGAGGCAAGAGAATCTCTTAAGCCCAAGAGTTTGAGGTTGCTATGAGCTGTGATGCTACAGTACTCTACCCAGGGCAGCATAGTGGGACTCTGTGTCAAAAAAAAAAGACACAGTGAAATGCCACCTCACACCAATTAGTGTGGTCACTGTAGGGCATAGATAGCAGGTGTTGATGAGAATGTGGGGAAGCTGGAGCTCAGTGCACTGTTGGTAGGAACGTAAAATGGTGCAGCTGCCATGGGAAATTGTATGGTCATTCCTCAAAAAGTTAAAAAGCAAGAGTCCTGTATGATCCAGCAGTTCCACTTTGCGGTTCATACTAGAACTGAAAGCAGGGTCTTGCAGAGGTATTTGTACACCCATGGTCAAAGCAGTGTTCACGAGAGCCAAGAGGGAGAAGTAACACGTGTCTGATGGGTGACTGGATAAACAAACCCAGTGCACATCCAGTGGGGTTTTGCTTTTGTTTCTTTTTGAAATAGAGTCTCATTTTGTCACCCTCGGTAGAGTGCTCTGTTGTCACAGCTCACAGCAACCTCAGACTCTTGGCTCAAGCAATTCTCTTGCCTCAGCCTCCTGAGTAGCTAGGACAACAGGCACCTGCCACAACACCCAGCTATTTTTAGAGATAGGGTCTCACTCTTGCTCAGACTGGTCTTGAATTCCTAAGCTCAGGCAATCCACCCACCTCAGCCTTCCAGAGTGCTAGGATTACTGGTGTGAGCCACCTCGCTTAGCCCAGTGGAATATTATTCAGCCTTACAAAGAAAGGAAATCTTGACACACGCTGATGAGTACCACAGGGGCTGACCCTGAGGCCAGCATCACATAGGAGAGACACTGCTGAGGTTCCCTCAGTGAGGTCACAGAGCAGGTGGATTCCTGGAGGAGGAAGCAGTATGGCTAAGGGTGCATGTTGAAGGGCAGAGCTTCAGTTTTATAAGATAAAACATGCTGGGCTCGGCGCCTATAGCTCAACCGGCTAAGGCGCCAGCCACATACACCTAAGGTGGCCGGTTCGAATCCCCAGCCCGGACCCGCCAAACAACAATGACGGCTGCAACCAAAAAATAGCCAGGCGTTGTGGCGGGCGCCTGTAGTCCCAGCTACTTGG